TACTATCACAGCCATGGTCAATTTTACTAACCCTACCAACTACTCGGCTACAATCCCATACTTCAACGTCAACGTCCTGGCTAATGGTTCACACATTGGCAGTGCAACGGTAAAGGACATGGAGGTGGTTCCCGGCAACAACACCAACCATCTCGTATCTCTTCATTGGGATCCCTATGAGTATGGTGGCCACAAAGGGAAAGAGATTGGCGCAGAGCTACTCTCTCAGTACATCTCAGGTAGGACCGGACGAACATACCATGGGACACGTAGCATGCTAATATGAAAACAGGCTTCAACACATCCATAACCGTCCAAGCACACGAACAGTCTGTGCCAGCCGCACCCTACATTGGCCGTCTCCTGTCACGCTTTCCCATCGAACGTCCCATGCCGCACTTGTCTACTCCCAAGAAGCCGTCTGATGGCGATGAGGATGAAGACCCAGATGACGATGGCAAATCGCACTTCATCCGCAGCACCACAATGCACCTGATCAGCAGCACTGCAGTTTTCACTCTGGCCTCACCATTCCGCTCCACGACCTTGTACCTCACCAACATGAACGCAACAGCTTACCACGATGGCCATGTGGCTGGCAAGATTCTATACGACCTACCTTTTGCCGTACCCCCGGGTCTGTCCGAATCTCCGCATCTGCCCGTCGACTGGTCGTTTGGTAGCCTGGGTTATGATGCCATCAAAAAGGCGCTTGGCGGGCAGCTCAAGCTTAGTGCATTTGCCTATGTAGGTGTACGGATTGGCGAGTGGAGAGAAAATGTTTGGTTCAAGGGGGGTAAGATTGGTGCCAATGTTAGACTTTGAGTTTACTTGACTTGAAGGTGCTGGACACGCCTTTCGTTCCTTTCATTTTTGTATAAATGCCCTCTGGATACAAGGAAGAAGATTGTGCGCCTGGATGCGTTTGTGTGTTGTACAACTGGGAAGAGAGAGGAGTTGGACTGTATTGGTAAGGGGAGGGGGTGGGCTGGCAACTTGGCGTTTTACGGATGGGACGGGTTATCTCTATCAAATTGACACACGGATATGTCAGGCATTATGGAATATGAAAATTCACTCGCACAAGACGGGCAACTGAATGACCATGGTAAACGTTCGGCACCTGTGTTTCTTGCACCTTTTAGGAGGGATACAGAAACGGCTGCACATGTTAACATGGGTCTCGCAGCTAACGTAGTTATCGAGTGCTTTTGCGCAATTGGTTCTTGGACATGTTAGTGCCACGTCGGCCATGCATCTCCAACACGACTCGAGCATAGCCCGGGACAAAGCTTAAAGCAGTGTCTAGACAAAGTTTCGTGTCAGATGCTGCAGGAGAGGGTTTGATGTGTCCTTGCGCAGTGTGACGGGTGTTGGTGTACGCTGTGCCTAGATTCACGAGAAGTTTGATTTTCTTGCCGACACTCAGGCACACACTGCCATAGGCTCGTCGAAGCAGACTCGGGGTGTTGCGATATAACGTGATGCGGAGTCTTGGCACAAGTATAAAAGCCTGTGCCGTCAGTCCCGACGGCCATGTGCGCGTATGCCCTCGAGATCCACAGGTCCACAGTCGAGTCTATAGTTCAATCTACGGCCACGGCCTAGACCCAAAGCCAACAACCGTCCAATATTGGTGTGCACGACGGCGATATAGTACTAAGCGCCTGTGCCTTGGGGATACCGGCAGCACTGCTTGTTGCCTAGTACAGTATACGAGAGAAAATCGGACGTTATTGCCTGGAGCTAGCAGTATAGTAGCCGTACGTAGGCATGGCTTGGCTTATGTCGACTGCTGTGCCCCCTCAAGACGAGGGAAGAGAAGGGCCGAAGGAGCTTCTGCCGTCAATCAAATAGCAACATGGCCCCAGAGCGAGGCGAGCACAAGGCTGTTCCCAGGCGCGGAAGATGGCGGACAGCTGTCACAGGTGAGATTGGGCGAAGCCGGCAGGATGAGCATGGAAATTGCTAGAAGCAGATATCGGCCATATTCTGGTGTCGTTGCAATGTGAAGAAACCGGCAATCGTACCCGATCCTGTCGGTCACACCAAAAGTGGGGACCTATGCGGTGGGGACTCGAGGAAGGCTGCTGATTGGATAGGCCAGGAATCCCATAAAGTAAAGCCGAGCCGCCCTCGTTCGACTTTAGCATGCCGCCTGTCATCGACGTTTCAACAATCAGCACCCTTTCAACATCGACAAATGCCTTCCCCCTCACATCGTCAACGGCGAAAGGGGTTTTTGCGCACAAAATATGGGCCACCCCACGTCCCCCAAGCCCTGCTGCAGATCAGATCGTGATGTTACCCGGTTGCGCAATGGTAAAAAAGAAAAGTACCCTTTTGCAGTTCGGCAAAAAGATTGGATGTTGCAGACATGTAAACACTCGCATGATTTCTGCATCCTCTGAGTGTTTTGTAAGCATGCAAAATACCTACCAAAAGCAAAAGCCGGCAGGGACAAAGAAGTCCAAGTTTGTTGTTGTTACAGTCTCACCTCCCTCCATCATCCTTTGCACCGAACATCCAACAATGTGCTCGCCTAGTCGGGAAGATTCGAGACAGGCAGACCAGATAGCCGCGCTGACGTCGTTGTGATGCATTGGTCTTTCGAGTTAAAGGCATGGGAAACGCCGGTGTGTGCGTGGCCCCTGACACTGGTACGATGCAAGTTGCATTGGTTTTGCGATTGTGGCTCTATTTCTCGATCCCAAGGTATTGGCATGTGCCCTCGCAAGACAGGGCCTGACAAGACCGGGTTGTTGCGGGGGAATATTCTAGTATTAAACGAGTTAAGAATGTTCAGCTTTTTGCTTTTTTGTGAATTCCTCTTTTACTGCCTTTGCAAAAACGGGTCGGCTTGCAAATAAGGTATATGAGAAGGTACCTTTTCCTGAACTACTACTTTACTTTTGCTCAATCCCTCCTCGCTGCCTCTCTCTCTCACACTCTCTCTTTTTGGCAATGGTTGTGCACAATCTCCCTGCGTTCACCGCAGGCCCAGATCCGACGTATTCTCCTCCAGAGAGTGAGACATTTCCATCTCCAGACGACCTCGGATCTCCCTGCTACGGAGACTCGTATCCCTCATTATCCGAGTACACCAGCCTAGACAGCAACAGCGGCCCCTGCTTCACTCGGCCCAGCGAACCGGTGGATCCCACCAACTCTCTCAACTGGAATGCCCCATTACCCGATGGCTTCATGAGCCCCCCCTCGGCTATAGTCTGTCCATCCGCCACCCACGGCCTACCCACCAGTCCCCAATTCGCTCCCATGTGGCAAACGGGCGTGCCCACGCCTCTCAGCACCTCGGGCGACTTCCAGCACGGCTACATATCGCCCGAATACACTGCGTCGTCAGCCTTTCCCCCCTCGGTCCCCTCGCCCCTGCCCACCCCGAGCAACCACGGCAGCCCCGCCTCTCTGTCCCCCGTAGTAGCCACCAATCCCACCCCTTCACCCCAGGATCCCATCTCAAAACCCCTCCCCCGCAAGCGCGGCCGCCCTCGCATCCACCGCCCGGCCTCGGAACCCTCAGCCATCGGTAGCAGCACCAGCCCCGCCAAGCACGCCCGAACCCAGTGCATGCCGCATACCGAGGTCGAGCGCAAGTACCGTGAGAAGCTCAACGCGGAGCTCGAGCGGTTGCGTAAGGCCGTGCCGCTTTTGCCCCAGAGCGATGCCTCGTCTGAGTCGGGAGGCGTCAAGCCCAGTAAGAGTATGGTGCTTGCTGTTGCTATTGATTACATTAAAGAGCTGGAGCGTCAGCGCGATTTGGCAGTTGAGGAGGTGGAGCGGTTGGGTGGGAAGGTCAAGTTTGGGCGGGTGGGCGGATGGCGGAGGGGGAGCGAGGATAGTTGAGTTGAGTTGAGTGCCTGCTCTCCTCCCCTTCCTCTCCCCTTTTTCTTTTTGTCCTTGAGGGAGGAAAAAAGTCGTCTTCCTTTACCTGGTTTGGTATCATCGTTTGCATACCCTCCGGCGCTCTCGACATTGAATTACTCCACTCGTTGAGGGGCAATGTGTGGAGAAACATACAGGAGCATATTTGTTTTCTCTGGGGAAAAAACTTGTGCTCCCCTCACAGAACGGGAAATCCTTCTTCAATCTATTCTTCTCTGGGACATAGAGGCGGAGAAGGGATACATTTCTTTTTTTGTATTTTATTTGAGAACACGGATACCCACTTGATTATATATCAAATTTCGAGCACATGGAGAGAGCCTTTCGCTTGGCCTCTCGAATAATAAAAAATATCAATATACATACACATATACAATGGAATTGGTGACATGGGAATGTTTGGGAGTCATGGATGATTGGTTGGGAAATTCTATTATAGAGAGGTTAGTTGAGGCGGGTCGGCCTTGCCACTAATTTAGTTTACAATCACAGACGAATTAACACTGGTCTCTGGCAGCAGAGCATGGGCGTCTGAGTACAATCAACTACTTAGTACATCTAGGTGTTCGTTTCTGGCTCAATGAAAGCACAGGATGTGTAACTAATAGGGCGCAATAATACACTCATGTAGCTTGACTGCGAGACCTCCCCCCTCCCCCCTACCCCAAATGAGTGCCCGTTTGCGCTTAATTTGCTCAATCGCAGTGACTTGAAGAGTTCAAGTGGCCCGTGAGGCTTTGTCGTCATGCAGTCTATCTGCTTAGTCACGTGCTCAAGCACTTTCACAACAACATATTACTCCGCCTCACTTGCGAAGCTCCCACACAAAACAATCAAAAATTGCGTCAAGCTTGTGCATCAAGTCTTTTTGTTATTTGAGTCTTCCTTGCATTACAACAGCCTTGTCCATATTCTGTGCTTTTGCATGGTCCTTCAGTGGGCACATATTTAATCTCACCTGGAGTGAGTGGTTATCGAAGCTTGACGGGCTTTTACCGAAACAAACCACAGAAGCCCCACAAGAATACACTCACAAAGTGAGGCCAGCACCCCTCATCAGTCGTCACTTACTATAGTGTAAAACCTCCCAAACAATCATGGGACTGGTAGGCATTGATCCAAGGACGGCACTACTGGCAATCCAATTGCAGCTTGCCGACATCCAGTCAGTTCTGCAAGACCCGAACGAAGGGGTTGATTGTATTGCCTGGAATATATTGCAGGATGAACTGGAACGCAGCTTGTTACTCTTGCAAGACCAGGCCTTTGCTATGGATCTCCTCAAAGAAGATCAAGACAATCAAGCTATGATTGATGAACTTCTTCGGGAAGAGAGGCAAGCGGAAGAGGACCACGACCTCGCGTGTAGAATTCGTGGTATAGCTAACGAGCACGTCCCATTGTCGAAGAGAGGCGACATGGTGCAACCACCGAAGGCCAATGATGAAGACCAGGACCTAAACCTAACATAAGGTGTGGACCTACGCATGGAGACATTGACGATAATGGACATTTATAAGCACATAAAACACGATATTGAATCAGCTGCCGCGTTTAACCATGATCTATACAGCGAACCTGGCCCTTCCGAGTTCAAGGGAAAAGGCAAGGGGAAGGCAGCAACTGATGGCGAGCATGCAACCCATATTTTATGTTCTGCCTGTATGGAATTGCATCCGCGCTTCGATGCACTCGAGCTTTCCTGCAAGCGATCGACAGAAGACTCCGCTCATGCTTACTGCAGGACGTGCTTGAGTGACTTGTTTCACACTAGCCTGGCAGATACTACCCTGTTTCCACCTCGGTGCTGTGGCAAATTCTTACCGATGCCTCGTTGCAAGCAACTGTGTCCACCATCACTAATGGCAGAATACGAAGACAAACAGATGGAGCTGACGACGCCGAATCCTGTATACTGCAGTAACCGAAGTTGTGCCAAGTTTATCAAGCCTTGTAATATCACCGCTGATATTGCAGTGTGCCAAACTTGCCAAAAGGAAACCTGCGCTATTTGTCGAAACCCAAGACACAATGGGGTCTGCCCAAAAGATCCATCCGTCCAGGCACTGATAGAAGTAGCCACTAAAGAGGAGTGGCAGCGATGTCCTAACTGCAGAACATTGGTCGAGCTAACTGTGGGCTGCTACCATATGCGGTAAGAACGAAGTAGAGTCTGAATTTGATCATCACTGACAATGGGGTAGATGTCGATGCGGCACGGAGTTCTGTTACATTTGCGCAAAGCCATGGAAGACCTGTCCCTGCCCTCACATGCACGCAGAGTTCGCAACAAGTAAGTAACTTGGAAGCCTTGCTTGCTTAACTTGGTGCCAAGCCAATTCAAGTAAGTCA